GAGGCTGTAGCTTACAGGAGCATCTTCAATTATTTCAAAGATTGTTATCATTTGGGCTCCCAGGCAAACCCGGAGGTTGAATACTGACAAGCCAGCAGCTTTCCAATGAAGTGCAGTATTATTGCAGTAGACTTTGTAATACAATTTATGCTGTCATCCATAAATAACAATGCCATATGTCAACCATATTGCTTACACAAGTAAAACCATCAGCATGTCACTATGTGATTTATCTCAACAGCTTCTTTAAATATTGAAGTGTAGATACTGAAGGGGGTGTTTTGTGAGGGAACAACGCCCAAATTTTGAAATAAATAAGTGCATTGAAGCTTCTGCTTGCTTCTTTCTGTGGCTTCGAAGATAGTCAAGGGTAAGAGACCTAGAAAAGTCCATTCAGGCCTAAATGATAAAAATTAGGTTTTTATGTGAACCTTGACCATGTAAAAGCATTTTGTGGTTCTTACTTGGACCTTCTGAGTATATTTTAAGACACAAGCAATGTGTTTCTCAAGAAATTCCCAATCCTAGTGGTCAAATAATGGTCAAAAGCCTTTCTCAAACAACCTCTATCGCTGACTGCAAAAATAATTTTGAACCAAATGGGAATATTTGACCACAGGCAGATTTCACACAACTTAATCTCTAGCACTGTAAAAGTAAGCTGCTCATTTTTTTCCCCAACAGTTTGTCAATGCAAAGGTCAAGTGGATACAGGATGGGGCCAGTTCTTCACTTTCCGAAGGATTCAGACTAGACACACCCCTCCACCCCCACCCAATCCAGCGTGAACACAGTCGTGACTTTTGTCCTCGCCTCTCCATCTTGCCCTCGAACGTGTGACAGGGATCATCAACCTTAGAATAAAGAACACTTTTTGGCTACCCCTCGCACCACACGTGTCCGTGGAGCCCGAGGATTCCGTATGAGTTTAGAAAGGCGGGAAAGAGGCGATCCTCAAGGAGATGCTCAGAGGGCCGCGAATTGCCACCGGACGATCTTGAGCACCAAGGTTTCTGAGACAAGTCGTAGTCCCCCTTGCCAGACTAATCTCCAGCGGTGAGGACGCGAGAGTGGAGAATCTGGTTCCTATTCGGAGAAGTCCGAGCGGGCGTGGCCAGGAGAGTCGACTTTAGACCTTGCTGCCTTGGAAGCCTAGTGAACCTGACTTGGGAAAAGCCCTTTAATCACTAGTCGCCATCTCTTCCTACTCTAATAAAGCTCCGTTAATATGAAGATTTACTGGTCCGTTTGCCTTTCTGGCTCCGGCTTGCAGAAAACTTTCTGGGTGAACTACAACCACTATCTCCACGCCTGCTAGCAATTCCCAACCTGCGTGGGTTAAGCATCCCTTGGCATTCCCGCCCGGCTTCACTCGTCCTTCTCCATGAGTTCTGTGTGCCCGTTCGCCCTTGAACCCGCCTTAGGCTCAACCCAAAAGGCCCTAGACTGCAAATCGGCTCCGCACTCAGCCCTTCCGCAAGGAGGCCGCCTCTCAGAAAACACGCGGGACTGGCGAGTCGTAAAGCAATTGCAGGGGCAATAAAAAGACATCTCGGTGGGTCTCCCCAGTTCCTTTCTTGTCCACCCCCACCGTCCCCCAAGTGCCCGCCCGCCTGGAGAAACAATCAAACAAAAGCTCAAAAGCCAGGAAATGTCCAATTCACTTCCCTTAGAGTTTATTAATTGCCCACACCCATCGTAGGAAACTTGACTGTGTTAAGTGAGGCACGGAAGGCACCTGGAGCTGGGAGACGCAGCCCTCCCTCCCGACAGCGGGAAGCCTGCCGCAACATCCCCAGGCGCCAAGTTCTGTGGCCTTTAGGCTGCTGAGCTGCAGCGTGGCCGTCGAGTTCCGGCCAGCTGGGAGTTGTCTGCGCCTTCTACCTCCTCGCGCCTTTGTTTGGGGGGCTAGAAAGAGGTTGGGGTTACTAGAACAAACGTGAGGTCTGTAAATTTACTGCCGACAGAGCCCCGGTTGCCTCCAGCATCGGTATTTCCAAGGCTTGCTGTATCTCTGCCTTCATACAAAGACCTCTAGCAGCGGAAAGTGCAGACCAGGGCTTGAGTTTTGGGAAGTGGCCCCGAAGACCAGTTCCACCATCAGAATAGAGTAACAGTCCACAGAAAGGGAAGGAATTATCATGAATACATCTATTACTCCCTGCTTTGGAAACCAGCACATTATTCTCCTCAATGCTCTGAAAATTGTTGTTTATTTAGGAAGTATGACACAGTTACTGCGTCCTTAGAAAGGAGGGATTTAAGGGGGTTTGGGTTTGGCTCCCAAACAGCTTGAAAAAGAAACAGCGCACCTGGGGTCAGGCAGGTCATCACAATAACAAAAAGCGCGTCTACAAAATAAAAAGCCCTTTTATAAAGCAAGGCAATCCCGGAAATCCACAGCGAGCCTTCCTGATGACCAAGTAGCTAGGCCTATTCTCAGGTTTAATTGGCAGGCGGTTTATTGGCGCCTTATTGGTGTTGATTGAAATTTTGCTCCCCAGCCCTTTCTTTCAAGAATTAGCATCTCAAATCGATTTACCTGAGTCAATTATCTTTTTAGGGTCTGGGTTTGGTCATAAATTTGAATATTCATTAAACTCACTTTAAATAAATATTCCCTTCCCAGTCACCACCCAGACTTGTGTTATTTCCAAAGTAAGTGTTTTCTTTTCCTTCCTTCCTTCCTTCCTTCCTTCCTTCCTTCCTTCCTTCCTTC